CAGTCGGACATGAGATCCAAAACATGGACTTGGGCACAGTCGGACACGAGATTCAAAAACATTGATTTGACACAGTTTGATGAGATAGACATATGTATGACTCATACTCAAGTTAAAATGTAAACATAGGTCATGTTTATAGCTCAGTTTGCAAGTATTGCAGGCGCACTCTCACCCATTTGCAATGTATGCAGTAGTCATATTCTAAGCCCTACCAACAGGGTAAAATATTATAGAGCTTGGCTAGATACTAGTTTCTGGGGTAAACATCAACCTCAACTTTACACATAAGATTCAGAGTGTCGATATATTTTAGATCATTTTGTGGGAAAATATTGGAAGTCTAATATACCATTATATCTGATAATTCTCATAGTTAAAAATTCATGGGTTATCTACGTGTATGAATGTAATGGTGGTAGGAGGATAAAACAACCACCACCACCACCAGTGGTAGTAGTCAGAGAGTAAATACCCAATTCTCCAGCAGACATGTTAAGATTTTTTGCATTGGCAGTAAAAAGACAAATATTTTGTTTTTTAGGGAAAAAAAAAAAAATGATGCTGAATTGGAAAAATGGAATAAAAATAAGGAAAACAAAAAAATGTCAACAATCAGGACATTTTCAGACTCAACATATTTCCACAAAGAAACTAACTTTTGTGAAACCAGATCACATAGTTGCAGTGTAAAGGGGTAGGAGGTATTAAAGGGGGAGGGTAAATGGTTGATATATATGGAGTAAAGGAGTGATGAAAAAAGGGAAAAGCATTGGGTATAAGGATGAGAGAAAATTATATATATATATATATATATTGGGCCCTTCAACATGGTATCATGGTTAGCAAGCTTGCCACTTATGACTGAATAGTGAGTTAAATCCAACTGAGTGCTTCATACTTCTGGCCTTGTGCCACATCTAAGAAACACTTAGTAAATTGGTGAGTATTTCAGTATGGTGTAATATTAATATTTATATATATATAAATAAATCACTTACAACTGAATACTAAGTTCGAACCTAACTTGATGCATTTTAAATTTATACTTGTGCAACATCTAAGCTATGCTTAAAAAAAAAATCATATATATATATATATATATATATATATATATATATATATATATATATATAAATAAAAAGAAAGAACAGTAAGATATAAAATCCGGTGTTCTTATAGATATTTTATTTTTACAAAATAGTGCTCAATGTAAATTTACAGAGCATTAATATTATAAATTAATTGATTTAAAATATGTTTTTTTTTTGCTACACAGTTCCAACCATGTTTCAAAAATAGAAGCTAAAAACCCTAGGAATTTAATTTTGCAATAAAATTAAAAGCATTAGTTCCATTTCATCTTCAAGCGAATTTTTATATATATATATATATATATATATATATATATATATATATTTTAAAATCAGGAAGTCACGTTAAAAGCTTTACATGTTATTTTTAGGGAACTTATATTTTTTTCTCACATGTATTAAGCCACATTTTTAATACTACCGTTTCCTGGTTTGATTCAATTTCCTGACCATTAATATATATATATATATATATATATATAGGTATATACACTCATCAGAAAAACCTTCAGTTTTCTTTGATTTTTTAATGGCCAAATCAATTTTTTTTTTTTTTTTTTTAAAAAAGAAAGAGCTAGGAACATGAATGTTTGTCGAAAATAATCATACAGCATACAGGTCCAAAGCCCATGGTAAAAAAAAAAAACCAATACAAGTAATCAACTAAAAAAAAGTGCTCAATACAAAAAGTTTTGCAGACCTAGTCAATAAAATTTTAGACAAATTTAATAATAAGGTTCAGATCATCAAATCGTCAATTCAGCTTTTTGATGAAAAACTTAGGTGAAACCAAAATAGTTTTGCCTGAAACATTCCAATCTCTAGGTTTGACTATATATATATATATATATTTGCTTTTGTATGTGCAGTACTTAGTGGAAAGCACCCAATATCAATGGTAGAGCTAAACTCATATCCATACAACAGAATATATATATATATATATATATATATATATATATATATATATATATAATAATAATATAAAGTCTAATAAGCAATATAAAATGATTTCAATTTCAAACAGGTTAAAACTTGCTGCTGAAGTAAACAATGACTTGACCTTCTCATCTTTTCAAAGATCAATGAATGATCAAAATACAAGCATCAAAATGCTATCATGAAAAAAAATATTTCAAGCTAAAATGCATTTTATCAATATTTAGGGAAACTGCACCTTAGATTCAACCGCTTGTAATTCTATCTTTAAAACTATTAAACCCAATATTATCGTTAGATAGAGAGTAGTCATACAAAAAGTAAATCAGTTATTAATTCTTTTTTCTCTGTGATTTGTTCCTTCAGGATGTTGGCAATCATGGCTCTCCACAATTTCCTGTCCATTGTAGATCTTCATAAATTTGATCATCTCTCCTAAACTTTGTTTACTCAAAATCTTTAAGTAGTCTATGCATCGTTTTCATTTATCATTCTTGCCTTCAACCTGCCCTATGAGTGTCAAATTTTCCAAGATCTCTTTCCTCATTATGTGCCCTCGAAATTTCAACTCATTAAATTCTGAGATTGTTAGATGACTAATACATCAAAAAGTATTTAACTGTTTGTCTAGTAGTAGTAACCTCCACCCCAATACCTGTATAGAAATTCATTGGTAATTCTATCTATTGTGTCCCTTCAAGATGTTGGCGATCATGGCTCTCTACAATTTTCTGTCCTTTGGAGCTCTTAATAAATTTGCCTTTTTGCCATCTGTCCCAAAACTGATCTGCCATCCATTCATTCATTCAAGCTCACCAGGTAGGTTATGTGTTGCTTTTCTATGTCTCTCTTACCTTCAATTTATCCTTTGAGTATCAAATTTTCCAAGCCATCTTTCCTCATTATAAGCCCTAGAAATTTCAACTCTCTCTTTCTGATGTTAAGTATAAGTACCTTTTTTGTTGGCATTGTCTTTGTTTCTCACATGTTCAGTAGATGTTATCGTCAACATCTTTCTGTAGAACCAAATTTCTGTTGCTTCAAGTCTCTTCATCTTTGAGAAGATTGTCCAGCATTCACTGCCATATAGGAAGACTGATATTATGTAACAGTTCAGTACTCTTTTCTTTTTTTATAACTGTTATATACCATACCTATGAACATTAATGGGTATGTTCCAACCCTCATAAATACGTTGGACACTATTATAAGTAGGGGTAATATGCTGTCTAAGAATTAACCAATATTTCTGCCACATTTAGGGACTGGGGGGGGTTATTACTAACACTATTTTGTTTAGTTTCTTGTAAATAGTTTTGTAAATCTTTGTAAATAATCACTGGGGCAAAATTTCAAATTTGTTGTTTTATTCCCCTTCACCACAGATAATAAATTGCACATATGGGGTCTAGTTAGGACTTTCATAGAGACAATGAGGTATTATGTTGAATGTAGTCAGAAAGGTAAATAAGAATGTGTTGTTTTGGTGTAAGGAATACTGTTGTCGGTGGCTAGCTAAGTTTAAAGTTAAGACAGTTGAAGACCGTCCATTTTCCCCATTCTCCTTTTTGGCCTTGTGCCACATTTTGTATTTATACAAATAAATATAATATGCTAAGTAGTCCACCACTAGCAATGGTTTACTACACACCACTGGTGATTATTATAATTTGTTGATGTTATAAAGATTACCATTTCACTTCATCCAATCGGTTGTGGACTGGGGCAGGAATTGGCTGGTTAACTTTAATGCCTCAAAAACAAAACTGCTCTCTATTACTCACCACAGAGAAACATTCCAAATTAGAATATCTGATGCTCAACTCCACGAGAGCACCTCTTTGCGACTGCTTGGTCTCACACTGACTGCTGACCTGAGATGGAACAAATAAATTGAGTCAATAGCTTCGTCCACTGCAAGGAAAGTTGGCTCCCTGTGCCGCGCCAGGAAATTTTTCTTGCCAGAGTCAATCCTTCAAATCTACAAATCAACCATTCCCCCTTGCATGGCGTATTGTTGCCATATATGGTCTGTAGTCCCTTCTGTTTGTCTCAAGGTCCTTGATAAAATCCAGAGACAGATATGCAATGTAATTGGCCCTGATCTGGCAACTTGTCTGCAGTTGCTCTCTCACAGACATGCTGTCGCCTTCTCTCTATCTTTTTTACAAATACTTTCACGGTAACTGCTCCAATGAGCTGCTTTTACTGGTTCTCAAACTTCATGAATTTAAGCGTTCAACTAGGCTGGCATCTCACTCTCACCCTTTCACTGTCAAAACTGTTGAATATAGTTATCTCTTCTACTCCAATAGCTTCATGTCTCACACTTCTTGCCTGTGGAACTCCCTCCCCTTTTCCTGTTTCTCTGATAGCTATAATCTCCAATTATTCAAATGTAATGTCAATCAATATCTCCAGATGT